TGACTCAGCCTCAGTCCTGGCTGGGAAAGCATAACACCGGGGCTGGGCCCCACCACCCTGAACTACATCCCTGGGATGANACAACCTAATGCTCTGATACCAACTGTCACGACTCGAAATTTCCTACCGACGGGACCATGATGGCGCCTAACATTTTACTTGCCAGGCAAGCCAACATTAGAGAATCATTAAACCAATTCCTTATTTCCATTCAGTAAATAACAATAATTAACTAAAATGAAATATAATAAGTGCGCAATATCAAAAATTGTATTAATTACTACCACCCGGATCTGGAGTCACAATTCACGAGCATTCTAGAATTTTTACTACAAGTAATAGTCTGAAAGAAATATAACTATCTGAATGAAAGAAAATAGTAGGACATAAAAAGATAGATGGGGACTTCAAGGTCTGTGAACGCCGACAGATATAACTTGAGTCTCCGGACAGCGGACCAATAGCAAATCTCGATCAACCTGAGCCGGTATCAAAATCTGCACAGAAAGTACAGAGTGCAGCATCAGTACAACCGACCCCATGTACTGGTAAGTGTCGATCCTAACCTCGACGAAGTAGTGACGAGGCTAAGGCAAGGCATCTACAAATCAACCTGTACAATTTAACAGTGTATACGCAAATAACAGGAATGAAGAACTAAACAGGAAATGTCGGGAGGGGAAACATACTGAGGGGAATACAAGATAAAGAACTACAACAGAATGATCACCGGAGCAGTAAATATACCATGAATCAACAGGAATAGTGAATACAATAAGAAAAAATGTATGACATCACCCTTCATGCTTTTACTCTCAATCTCACCATAAAATTAATAGAAACGGCATGGCATCACCCTTCGTGCTTTTACTCTCATATCATGGCACAGCATCACCCTTCGTGCATTAACACTCACAATATGGCATGACATCACCCTTCGTGCATTAACATTCACAATATGTCACGGCATCACCCTTCGTGAATTAACACTCACAATATGGCACGACATCACCCTTCGTGCATTAACACTCTCCCTTACCATAATGCAATGCATAAATAATAACAGGGAGATAGAATAACAAGTACAAACCTTACTTCAACATTTGGTTCCATAATATCAATCTCAACTTTGAAATAAAAACTCAGTTATCACCAGAAAATTCCGTTAACATGATAAGAACAATAATTTGGACAACACTAGTATAACATGTAGCAATTTGGCATAGGAATGAGACAATATCAGAAAAACAGAGAAAACATGAAAAAATAGGTAAATTGGCGGCGCATAGGTACTCGTTACCTCACATATACGCCTCTCACATGAATTTCACTTAGCAAATAATCTAAGCTTCCTAATTCCCTCAAGTCAGGGTTAGACACAACACTTACCACGCTCTGAAGGCCACTTAATTCTCAATCACAGCTTTTTCTTTGGAATTCACCTCCAAACCACTCGTATCTATTCAAAAATGACACAATAATATCAAATATTGCTAAAGGAATCAATTATATTGCATAAATTAAATTTTCCAATTTTTCCTCCAAAAAGTCAAAAAATCGACCCCGAGCCCGCATGGTCAAAACCCGAGGTTCGGACCAAAATATTTTTATCCATTCACCCCCGAGCCCGAATATGTAGTTAGTTTTGGAATCCGACCTCAAATTGAGGTCTAAATCCCCAAATTCCCGAAATTCCTATTTTCTACGCTAACCCCTAATTCTACCATGAAAATTCTAGATTTTAGGTTAAAAATTCAAGAAATGTAATGGGTAATTGAAAGAAAATATTTTAGAATCACTTACCAATAATTTGGGGAAGGAATAACTCTTGAAAAATCGCCCCTCACCGTTTGGTTTTTGAGAAAAATGAGTATTTTGGCAAAAATCCCGTTTGGATTCTGTCAAGTGCTGGGCTACAGCGTTCATCGCGTTCGCGAGAGCAATGTCGCGTTCGCGAAGTGTATGGGCTGCCAAGCCTTCGCATTCGCGAAGCAGTGCTTGCGTTCGCATAGGCTACCCTTCCCTGGTCTTCGCGTTCGTGAGACATTGCTCGCATTCGCGATGAAGAAAAGGCTGAC